GGAAGGGATCACAGTGTTCCACCTGGTCCCACCTCCCTGCTCCAGCAGGGCCATCCCAGAGCACACAGCTCCAGATTGTGTCCAGAGAGTTCTGGAATATCCTCAGTGAGGAGACTCCAGACACTCTGGGCAACCTGTTCCTGCACAGAAAAGAAGTTCTTCCTCATGTTCAGGTGGAACTTCCTGGGCATCACTTTGTGCCCGTGGCCTCCTGAACCACTGCTGGGCCCCCCCGAGCAGAGCCTGGAACAGCACCTTGTGTTGATCCCAGTGTGAATTCAGTTTTCCTGGTTCTCCCTGAAGCTCCACCAGTTCTCACCCCTGGCACAAGCCCTGGGTGCTGCTGGGCTGTCTAACCTGCATTCCCCCAAGGACCCACCTGGATCCAGGCTGCAGCAGCCCAGGACAGGTTTTCCCAAGCTGATGGATGGGGGTGTTGGTATGGCAGCATTTCCCAAAGGCTGGGGATGGGAATGCACAGCCCGCACGAGTCATTAGCAGAACATTAGCACAGACAATTTTCCAACAGACTAGCTCCAATGGAGGCTCAATCTGGGAAAATGTTTCTGTGGAGAGATGGGAGGAACTGGGATCAGTGTGTGCTCCTGGCTCACAGCAACTGCAGAATAAATTGCTTGTCTTAGCCTGAGGTAATTTTCTTTGTGGATCTGATCTCTCCAACTTTTCCCTCAGCACATCCAGTTCAGATGGCTCCCGACCAAAACCTGGGTGACACTGCTGCAATAGAAAAGAAATCTTGCAAGAATGAACCATTTCAGGGAGGAGAGGGAAGGTTTCTGTGGCAGCATCACTGTTCCAGAGCAGACACCCAGATATCCAAGTGCAAACAATATTGTTTCTCTTTTCAGTGATGTTTAATAGTGACCATTAATATCCACCTGTCAGGGAAGTGACAACACTTTGTCTTCCAATTACCAAGCAAAAATGCTTCTTATCTGTTCTTTTTAGTTGGCAGGTTAACTCTGAACACTTCTAATGAACAGTTTATTTCGTACTTGTCCCTTCATATTCTCCTCTCACTGCTCTGGGGGCTTGGGAATGTACTTTTTCTTTGGATCACCCACCCAACCAGACAAACCCTTCCAGAGCCACCAGCAAGGGAAGCTGCAAGGAAGGACCTTCTCCTCCATCACCAGACACCCGCCCTCATAATCTTGGGCCAAACAAATTCTCAACCAGTGTTCAGAACCTTGCTGGAAAGGGAATGCTTGGACAAACCTCCCATGGCATTTCCAGGATGGGAGACAGGGATGGTGCTCATCTCTGTCCCCAAGGAACAGGAACAAGCCAATGTCCCAGTCAGCTGCTGTGGGTTTGCTGGTGACAGAAATGTGGTTTCTGACTGCCCTGGGTCCTGGGAGGTGCCATGGAAAATACATTTATTGAGCTCTGAGTAAAATAATTTCCTCTGTATCTCTCACATAAAATTAGCCATTATTTCTGCTGCTATCAAGTTACCAGCTGTTACAACTGCTGTTGTGGGCTGGAACACTAGAAAATAGGAATTTAACAAATGAGAGGGAAGGCAGAGAATGCTAAAACATTTCCTTCACACACTCAGTCTCTCCTGAAAGGAGCTCTAACACCCCCTTCCTGTTCAGGGGAAGTTTTCTCACCCACCATTTTTAAAAGACATTTTTAAGACAGAATTAAAAGAAGTGCCATCAGCCACATGTTAATATTAAATACCATTTTCAGAAAAAAAACCAACCAACTGTGTGCTAGGACTGTGCTGAGGGAGGACATTTAGAGGACAGATATTTGCCTTTAATCCAGAAAGCCCACAGCTGCTGCTCTGCCCCTTCTGGTGTTTCTTTAGGAAACATTCCCTGGCCTTCAACGTTCCTGTTGTTCTCCATTCACCCTCACCAATTCCAGTGGGAGCCGGGCATTTTCCCAGGAGCCACCCCTGGTTTATCCAGATGGGCTGGTGATTATTCCCCAGTGCCTGTTTGGAACTGCTCACTGTCAGATGTTGTTTTCAAAGCCTGGTTGTCCTCCAGCTTATCCACACACACAAAAAGTATTCCTACAGATGTAACTTGTCTAGGTTTTGTTTGAAAAGATGTGATTAGCATGGAATCAGTAAGGTTGGAAAAGACCTCTCAGATCACCCAGTCCAACCATCAACCAGCACCACCCTGCTCTCCACTAACCCATGTCCTCCAGTGCCACATCCCCATGTTTTGGTGACCCAACCACCTCTCTGGGCAGCTGTGCCAGGGCTGGACAATGTTTGCAGTGAAGAAATTTTCCTGATATCCAATCTGACCCTCCCCTGGCACAACCTGAGGCTGTTTCCTGTCATCATTATAATTCCAGACAGGACTTCAGAACCTGAGAGGAGTCCAACATTCCAGCACCACAGTCTTCCAGCAAAAAACCCTGTGCTGTTTTATTCCCTCAGACATCAAACACGCAGAGGTGTCTGGGACCAGTTCTGCCAGTGCTGGCAAGACTGGAAAGCTGAGAATCCAGGGGCAGAGGGACAGCTTTTGGTGACCTCTCTGCTGCCTCTTTAGCTCTGATCAGAGCGAGGGATGAGGTTTTACACATCAGAAGGAGCTAAAGCAAAGGTCCAGGACTGGGGTTGTCCCTCCTGCTGTGGCCCCTGGGCTGCCCCTCACACCAGCACAGCACTGATGGAGCTGGTTGGAATTTACTCTGTCATTACCCTGGATTTTCATTTATAGGCTCGTCCCAGCTGCCCTGGGCTGGGGGAGGCTGGAGACAGCAACGTGCAGGTCATTCTGAACAACATTTGCAGTTAAAGAAAATTAAATCCATTTGCAGGAGAAAATAGCTGGAGAAGAGAGAGAGTTGCTATAACTTGTAAAATCATATATTTGCAGTGGTCATAAACCCAGAGCCCTGTTCAGTAAACTCAGAAATGCCTTCTTACCAAGGATGAACAATAACTGCAACGTGCAAGTAAGAGGATATAAATATTCAACAAAGAAAGGATCGAATTTGATTATTTTTTTTTTGCACCATCTAGACATGCTCTGACATATTTTAAAAGAACCTTTGAAGTCTTTTTTAGGCAGTTTGATTTTTAGAGTATTATATGATTCATATAGATACAGCAGGGCTAAATCAGTAGGAAAGCATCATTAGGGCCCTCAGCTGTGTAAGGCACAGACTTCCCTCTCTTCACCCACTGAGAAACCAGGTCCAGGAGAGACTCTGGGGGCACCTCCCGGACCTGCCCAAGATCCTCACAGGGTGAAAGCTCTGCATTATTAACTGGCAAATGCTGCCATTTGAAAAGTCTTGCAATTAAATCAATTAAACTCCAGATTTCATCAATTTTCCTAGAACTGCCTGGGTCGGGTCAGCTACAAATGTGTTGCTGTCGAGGGAAACATCCCTCAGAGTCAGCACAGCTCGGTTGATTCCAGGCTCCACCACCCCCTGGTAACACATTCCCTACTGTTCCCATCCCGTTAATATTTGATTTTTTAATGCAGTCAATGTCTCAGTCAATTCTTCCATCAATTGGAAGTTACTAGAGAAGGAATGTTGGTTCTACAACTTGTTTTCCCCTCTCCAGCAAAGCCCTCTCAGCTCTCATTCAAGTCTCAGAAAAGCTGACTCCACAGGGTCAAATGCTTTCTTGCCTCCTATTCCTCCCTCCCTTCTCCCAAAGCCCAACCACAGAATAACAGCACAAAAATAAATGTGCAGATGCTGTTTGGTGTGTTCCACCTACAGCACTGTATCATAATCTGAAATAAAACACTCTGGTTTCATTATTTAATATGCAGATCAGATGTGGAAGAGTGTAGTATAAATGGCATTCCTGTCACCTTTATCCAAATGACTATTTTAAACCTATTTTTAAAAGCTGTATTTAGTTTTATTATTTTTTATAGTACTGCTTTTTGTGGGCTGTGACTCAGTTGAGGCTTCACTGCATTTTAATTGACAAAGATGCATTTTCCTGCTTTCTGCCTTTACTGTTTCTCACTGTTGTGTTCTCTCAGGTATCCCAGAATCACAGAGTGCTTTGGGTTGGAGGGACCTTCAGGATCATCTTGTTTCACCCCATGGGCAGGGACACCTTCCAGGAGACCAGGTTGCTCCGAGCCCTGTGCAGCCTGGCCCTGGCCACTTCCAGGGATGGGGAATCCCTGTTTGTTTTATCTGTATAAAAAGACAAAACTTTATTTTGAGAAGCCTCAGTTGCAACCACCAGAGCAATTTCTCAGTAAAGTGAGATTGAGGAAGATTTTACTGGGAGATTTTCCTGGAATATGTGTTTAAAGCCCCTCAACACCCCAGATGTTCTGAGGTACCTGGACACTGGTGGGTTAATTTAAATGGACTTTTGCATGAAGAACCTCAGGCTAAGCAGATATTAAAGTGTGGTTTACACAGCAATCAGGAATTGTGGTGAACAGTCCATATGATCCCAATGCAGTACAAACAGCTCAAAGAAGGGCACTACATTCATTTAATCAAATTTACTGTTATTGTTTGGTGCTGAGCTGGATTAAATCTAAGCTGTTATCTGGAACTGATTTGATTAACTGGGATGAATTTTGGCAAAGTTCATATGCATTTAGCTTCAAACTTATAAACCAACAGCTTCCTGAGCCTTAATTCCTGAAATCTGAGCTCGGGGCCGGCCCTGGCACTGACTCCCATGGGATTGTTCTCCAGCACTCCTTCAGACCCAGCACACCCTCCTCCCTCAGCACTTCCCAAGCCACTCAAACAACTGATGCAGAGTAAACCAGGAAGGTATCCCAGAGTTTTAGGTTTAGATAATTCACTGAGATATTTCTCACACAACACCAAGTAGGAGGGAGTTCCAAACCCTGCAGAACTTACTGATACCAAACTGGGATTTGTGTAAGAGATTAGTGTTGAAATAATGATTGTTTTCAGGTATTTTTCTTCAAAGCTCAAAGAAACTAAATAATAGATGAACTGTGTGTGAGCTGAGCATAACATATAGCCTAATCTGTTTTCAGGAACATCTTCAGACACTGATTTGCAGAAGATTCTGGAGCACAGAGGAGCAGCTGAGGGTCTTCAGTGTGTTTCTCCTCTTCTCTAAACTCAGCAAGTCATCTTTAACCTTCTGGATGTCCAAGCCTTTCACCTTAAACTTCAAGCTTTACATTTTCTGCCTGATAAGGGATCAGCCTCTCCCCCGTTGGGATTTTAGGGAGTTGGGGAGCTGAACTCCCTCTCTGGCCAGCATGGCAAAGGTTAGAGCCCTTTTAACTGTGTGCCACTTGGTGCTAGAATTGTTACTGAATTCATTGACTGAGTCTTCCATGCAGAGCAGTGAATGTCCCCAGCTCTGTGTCTGTGAAATCAGGCCCTGGTTCACACCACAGTCCACGTACAGGGAAGCCACGACAGTCGACTGCAACGACCTTCGACTAACAAAGATCCCCAGCAACCTCTCCAGCGACACCCAAGTCCTGCTGCTACAGAGCAACAACATTGCAAAGACCACAGACGAGCTCCAGCAGCTCTTTAATTTAACAGAGTTGGATTTTTCACAAAATAACTTCACGAGCATCAAAGACGTGGGACTCTCAAATCTCACCCAACTCACCACTTTGCACCTGGAGGAGAACCAGATCACAGAGATGACCGACTACTGCCTGCAGGACCTCTGCAACCTCCAGGAGCTCTACATAAATCACAACCAGATCAGCAGCATCTCTGCAAATGCATTCTCTGGCCTGAAGAATCTGCTGAGATTACACCTCAACTCCAACAAATTAAAGGTCATTGACAGCCGTTGGTTTGATTCGACTCCCAACTTAGAGATTCTCATGATTGGAGAAAACCCAGTGATTGGAATACTGGATATGAATTTCAAGCCGCTCTCAAATTTAAGGAGTCTGGTTCTGGCAGGGATGTACCTCACAGACATTCCTGGCAATGCCTTGGTAGGTTTGGATAGCCTTGAAAGTCTTTCCTTCTATGACAACAAACTGGTAAAAGTTCCTCAGCTTGCACTTGAGAAAGTTCCGAATTTAAAATTCCTGGATCTCAACAAAAACCCGATTCATAAAATTCAAGAAGGGGATTTTAAAAACATGCTCAGATTGAAAGAGCTTGGGATCAACAACATGGGAGAACTGGTTTCCGTCGACAGGTACGCGCTGGACAACCTGCCCGAGCTCACAAAGCTGGAGGCCACCAACAACCCCAAGCTGTCCTACATCCACCGCTCGGCATTCCGCAACGTGCCCGCCCTGGAGAGCCTCATGCTCAACAACAATGCCTTGAACGCAGTCTACCAAAAGACCGTGGAGTCCCTCCCAAACCTGCGCGAGATCAGCATCCACAGCAACCCCCTCCGGTGCGACTGCGTCATCCACTGGATCAACTCCAACAAAACCAACATCCGCTTCATGGAGCCCCTCTCCATGTTCTGTGCCATGCCCCCGGAATACCGGGGCCAGCAGGTGAAGGAAGTGCTAATACAGGATTCCACCGAACAGTGTCTTCCAATGATCTCCCACGAGACCTTCCCCAATCACCTCAACCTGGACATCGGCATGACGGTGTTCTTGGATTGTCGGGCCATGGCAGAACCAGAGCCAGAAATTTACTGGGTCACTCCTCTGGGCAATAAAGTCACCGTGGAAAGCCTCTCTGACAAATACAAGCTGAGCAGCGAGGGCACCTTGGAAATCTCCAACATCCAGGTGGAAGACTCTGGGAGATACACCTGTGTTGCTCAGAACATAGAAGGGGCTGACACGAGGGTCGCCACCATCCGGGTGAACGGGACACTCCTGGATGGGACCCAGGTCCTGAAAATCTACGTCAAACAAGCCGAGTCACATTCCATCCTGGTCTCCTGGAAGGTCAATTCCAACGTCATGACTTCCAATTTGAAATGGTCGTCGGCCACGATGAAGATTGACAACCCCCACATCACGTACACCGCCAGGGTGCCGGTGGACGTCCACGAGTACAACCTCACACATCTGCAGCCCTCCACGGACTATGAGGTGTGTCTGACCGTGTCCAACATCCACCAGCAGACACAGAGATCCTGCGTCAACGTCACGACGAAGAACGCGGCCTTCGCGCTGGACATCTCCGACCAGGAGACCAGCACGGCCCTGGCGGCCGTCATGGGCTCCATGTTCGCCGTCATCAGCCTCGCCTCCGTCTCCGTTTATGTTGCAAAAAGGTTCAAGAGAAAAAACTACCACCACTCACTGAAAAAATATATGCAAAAGACCTCCTCAATCCCCCTGAACGAGCTCTACCCTCCCCTTATTAACCTCTGGGAAGGGGACAGCGAAAAGGACAAGGACGGCTCTGCGGAGACCAAGCCGACCCAAGTGGACACATCCAGAAGCTATTACATGTGGTAACTCAGAGGATATTTTGCTTCTGGTAGTAAGGAGCACAAAGACTTTTTTGCTTTATTCTGCAAAAACGACGAGTTGAAGACTTTTGTATTTTTGCCTTTGCTGGTGCGTGGCAGAGCGGAGGGACAGGTGGATATTTCAGGAGTTTTTCGTACAGCGTATCGCAGCGGTCGGACCCAAATGGCAGCTTCACCCGCCTTCCAATTCTCCGGTATTTTATATTTTTTTTTTTTTTTTTTTTTTTTTTTTTTTTTTTTTTTTAGTTCTTGTGCTCGACTTACTGCTGTTCTAACTCCAGTGCTGACAGAGGAATGAGAGGCTGTCCCGGAGCCATCCCGAGGTACAGGAGCTCCCGAGCCAACCCCAGTTTGGGACCTGCGGTGAACTGGGATTGTGAGCCCGGTCTGAGGACTCGGACCCTGAGAGAAGGAGACCCTGAAGGATGTTAGTTGACTGTACTGTAATGTTGTATCAACTGATTTGAATGTTTTTGACTTTGAACAATGAGTTCCCTTTTTTATCATTATTATTATTATTATTATTATTATTATTTTTGTAGTAGTTGAAGGCTTAGGCAAAGCTAACAGGCAATAGGAATACGTACATCCGATTTTCTAATGTAACAGACTAAATGGTATTTGTTCTCTTCTTCTTTTTATTCTATTTAGTAGACACTTTTGAAGAATTACTAGAGTTTTGTTGTGTTTAAATCACCAACACATGGTGTTTAATGAAGGCAGAGCTATAATAAATTTAGTTTGGTTCTGATTTTTTTTTATTTTAGAAGTCACAATAATGTATTGGGTTTAGCTGTCACTAGTTTGACTGGTGATCATGTTTTGACATAAAATATATCCAAAATGTTATATAAAAATATTGTGGGGGTTTTTCTTGATGGAATTACGTTTCAGCAAAGTTCCAGGTTTTGGGTTCTTTATGCATTTATGTTATAGCAGTGTTTTCTCTGCGTTAGATGCAAAATACTGAAAGTAATTTAATGAGAGCAATGTCTCGGTATGGCTTTTGGACTGAGAGTACGTGCAGAATCCAAACTGTTTGGCATCAGGAACACAGCAAAAATAATTGAGAAGAGTGTGTACCAGGCCCTTTTCCTTTTTTTTCTACTTTTCTGTTTATATTCTGAGCTAAGATCAAAATGAAGCTGACATTTAGCTGTCATTACCATCAGTTAGGACAAAAAAACAACTCAGTGCTACCAAACGGAAACAAACCAGTTGGCATATACTTTAAAAAAAAAAAGTTAATTGGATTCATATTCCTTTAAAAGCAGAAGTTAAGATGAAAACTAACAAGAAAGTTATATTTGGGTCCAGCACTGAACTGTATTTTTTACAGGCTGAAAATTAACCAGTATTCTGAGTACCTGACTGAATTCCTGTGGTAAAAGTGCAAACCTCAGAGAGCAGGGGTGTGATGTGTGCACTGGGTACAACATAAAGGCATCATTTACAGCTGAACCCACGGAATTGTTGTCCGTTGTCTTTTCTGACTCCAGGGAAGTTCTGCACAGGGACTGCACGCAGGTCACGGCAGGGTGGGAGCTGGTGAACACGTGGTGACACTCACACCAGGCCCCTGAGCCACAAGCACAGCATTTTCTACACTTTATGACCACTGTCAGTGTGTAATTTTTACATGTTTTACAGACCAAATACATTCCTGGTAAGTCAAAGTTAATTGTTCAAACCGTGGATGTGCCTGGGGTTTGGGGCTCTTTGACATTTTTAACTCACTGGCTTCTCAGATATATCCAAGACCGCCCCAAAAAATTTACAGAAAAGTTCAAACTTCTTCTCCCTTGTCTAAAAGTGAAAAATTATCAGCAGAGTTTCTCTAATAAGTTGCTTTGGTGCAAAAACTCGAGTCCATCCCTTGGCCCCCTGCCTTGCTGATCTTGTGTTTCAACCTGAAGCTGCTAATCCTGCATTTAAATCAACTCCTTGTGCTGCTTTACACAGTCCTTTCTATGTTCATGAGATCTCATACATTTTTAATCATGTGACAATTAGATGTTGGGATCAGACAAGTGTCTTTTGATCATGGAGAAGTCACAGGGTGGAAGGATTTATTCATCACCTCCTCCTGTATTTGTTTGTAATGTTAATGGGAAATTTCCTCCTGGCGTTTTCTCCAGCAGAGCTGCAGAGCAATAATTACCATCTTGTCTGTGTTGTTCTAACCTGAAAACTGCAGGCACGGGGAATTCATCTCTGTTGCAGTAAAGATTCACTCTACTTTTGCCAGAGAAAAGGACACTGAGGGCAAGGTTGGCCACAAAATGTTGGCTTCCAGCTTGCCTGACACTGTAACATTGTCTTTGGAAAACAACCACTGAACAGGTGTCAGAAGGTGCAGAGCAAGGCCCCTCTTCCATCCTCTCCTCAGCTTCCTGCAGCACTCGCACAGATCACACAGAGCCCACAGCTCTGCCTGGATCCTGCTGAGTTTGGGGGTCCACCAAGGGGTTGGTTCCTCAGTGACCCTGAGTTGTCCTGCCCCCAGAACAGCCACCCTGCTCTTCCAGTCCCTGTCCCCACCGCCCATCCTTGGCTCCAAACCACGTGGGGATCCACCTGCCCTCAGAGCACCCTCATAGGACCTGTCCCCGCTGGTGGGCACAGCCCACACCAGCTCTGCCCTGGGGGATTCTCAGCCAGCCCACACCAGCTCTGCCCTGGGAGTTCTCACCCGGCTCTTCTGCACATCTGGGCAGCTGCAGAAGCAGTGCCTGGCAGACAGGACTGTGGTGGGGACATGTGGCCATGGAGGAGGACAGAGCAGCACTCCAGCAGCTTGCAGGGGAAGGAAAGCCACGTTTAACATGTTCCTTTCCACCGAGGAATAATGGGCCTTGTGTTCCCTGCAGCCCTGTTTGGCACTTTGCTGTCATTTGTTATCTTTCTAGAGCGGTGCTGCCGGAGAACTGCAGGGGGAAAATGGCTTTAAACGGCCGCACTCTTCCCTGGGATGTGCTGACCTGCAGGATTCCAGGGAAGCTGCTGTTGCTGGGAATCCCGGAGGGAGGTGCAGTTACCTGAGAGCAGCCAGAAGCACCTAGTTAAGGCAGTGTGTTCTGCACACACATGAGCAGCATTTTCAGCCTTTTAATCTGACCCCATAGAATTCTGTAGAGATCCCCTGGATATTTAAAATTTTGCCAATAAAAGCCTAAAAAGTGGGGAAGAGATTAATCACATGTGGCATATAATCTTAGTAAATAACCTTCAACCTCGTGCCAGCAATTCTATTGTGCTTGCAGTTTACTGTGAGCAAAAATAAAAACACTCTAATTGCCTTCAAAACATATTTGCATCTACTCCTCACTGAAAACAAAAAACACCCCCAGTTTGCTCAGAATCAGGGATTGAGACTGGCCACTTGGAAAACAGTAGGGGAAGGCCATTGTTAGCTTTCATTTGGGTAACAGTTCAACAATGCTGTGTAAGAGGAGACATTTCATACCCAACTAAACTTCTGCACTGTTACTTCCCCTTGGCTGCCCAACAGTAAAATATTTCAGTCCCCTGAAGAGTAAATAACTCGCTCAACTGTGGGATGCAGCATTCCCGCTAAATCCACTTTTCATTCCTCACCTAAATCAGAATATTCTATTGGATTTGAGGGTATTTTCACCCATGAACCAACACTGGACAGGGTGGTGGGATGAAGAGCACAGACCCACAAGCTGCCCTCCAGCCCTGCCCCAGGAGGACTCCCTGAGTTCCTGAAGGAAGGTTGTGAAGAGAAAAGACCAACAGTTTGGGCCACTGGTTTCCTGAAAGGGTTAAAACTGGAAGTAGGTCAGGGAATCTGGGACCAGAGAGAAGGGCATAAACTCACCCTATTGCCACTGACAATCTGGGAAATCAGTGATAAAGGAGCATCATCTTTTTTGAGTTCAAATCAGGCAACTCCTTTTGCTTTGTGCTGCAACCTTGAAAACAAGACCGAGGACAAAGCACAGGGAAATTCCTGAAATTACTGGGATAAGCAGCTGAGGGCTAGTTCTGCAACATCTCCACACAGCTGATGGACCCTGGTGGGAACAGGAGGAGTCACTTGGGCACATCTCTGTGACCATCTCACCATCCTAAAAAGCATCACAATGGATGTGCACAACAGGCACGTGGTGGGAAAGCACACAGGGATGTGGGACTGGAGCTGGAAGGAGCCCTTTCCCAACCCACCCAATGCTCCAAAGGTGGCTGTTTGTTACCGTGGGATCCTGTTTCACCACAGGGAATGCCATGGATCTCTGCTACAGCTGGAATTGGCCTCCTCCTGCTCCCCGTGCTGAGCACAAGGACTGCAGCCCAGTGCCCTCAGCTACAGACCCCCACAGCTGAGGGGCAAGGGAACGTGCTGCCAGGGGACTTCTGTCCTCAGGAGAACCCAGAGTGCCTGAGCTGGGCTGGTTACCCAGCCTGTGCTAAAGCACAGCCCTGTATCCCTGCAGGAGAAGATCCTCTGCTCCCAGCCCCCCGATAATGTGTCTTTGCTGTGTCACACAGAGGATGTTTTCTGCTTCCCCTCAACTGTCACCCTTGTCATCTGCTCCTTCCAACTACTGCAATGGTTTTTGTTGGAGAACTTTTACCCCTCACCAGCTCTCCTGCAGCAGCCTCCCCTGGTCTCACCCTGCTCCCCAACCTTGCTCATGAGACCTCAAGAGCTCTCACCCAAGGACTTTATTTGCATGGAATGTCACCTGGTTTCTCCACCAGCCTTTTCCCCTTCCCCTAAATGTCCCGTTTTGGAGCCCTCAGTGCTGCTGGCAGTGACAGATCCAGCTGGGGCACCTCCCTGCTCACACCCAACACCCCCTTCCCCTGCCCAAACCCCTTCCCGGGTCTCCCTGCTCCAGTTCTCCACCCACCCCTATTCCTCAGCACATCATGACCCTCTGTTGTGTTTTCCACCTGTATGGAAGTAACAAATGACTCATTTTTCTTTTTAGTGAGATAAAGGAGATTTCCCATGAAATTTGTACTATTGTGTACTTATGTCAAGTAGACCAAAGGAATGCTGGGGCACAATAACAGCATCAGATCAACAGTGTTTTAAGATACATGAAAATAAATACTTTGGAAAATCTAGAGTTGATCACTAAGTAAAATTTTCAAGTGACTTAAGAGTTTACAGCTCATTAACTTCAGTGGTGCAGTAGGTTCAAAACCAGGTAAATGAGATTTTTCTCAGGTGCATCTGGAAGTATTAACTATCCTTAAGCTTTGAGCAGCTGTGAAGCATTTTCTTTGGAATTTTATAGTACAGACTTTTCAAAAATCACTTGAAACCATAATTTTTATCTCAGTTACGGGGGTGGGGAGATGGGATTAAAATCATATAATCCTCAGTGGAGTCACTGATTTGCAGTGATTAAAGGTGGTAAAAAAAAATGTTTAAAAACTGCAGCTCCAGGTTGCTGCTCACAACTGGAATAAAAGTTCCTGGCAGGTTTTTTAAATGGGAGTTTTTCCTACTGGGGCATATTCTGCTGGACTGCATTCCAAAAATTAATGGATGTATCAGAAAAGCTCAGGGTGGGGAACAACAAAGAAAGATCCCTGAGGATTGCCTGCCTTCAGCTGGAACAGGATCATTTCGCTGTGCAGTGTGGAAGGGCTGTGTGACCTCCCAGTGCAGGTCACTCACAAACCCACTGCTCTGAACATCAACAACAGAAAGTGTTCCTTAATTGTTTTGTTCCAGGTATGAAATTACCCTTTTATCCTTCATATTCCAGT